TTTCATAGAGTTTACTAATTTTTTTCTTGGGTGTACACAATTCTGGAATCTACACAGGGAATTTTGTTGAGTATATGCCGGAAACTAGAAATCAGAGGCCGTTTAACTTAAGAGATGTAAAACTGCTTTGACCTCACGTCACCAAACTGCTGCTTTTTTGGCTCTCTTTTATTCTTGTCTCCTACCCATATTGTAATTTGCATATTCTCCATAAGGGATGGCTCAGCATCACTGTCAGCAGCGCAGCTCAGCCCTTGTATCCCCCTTCATGTATTTCTTTCTGTCTCCTTGTATTTTCTGGGACTGACTGTTTTCTTTACTGCCTGGGCGACTGTTGTACTTAAGAACATGTCGTGGGATCCTTCAGGCCCAGGATCAAGTTTTGTCCCTCACTTACCAAACGTGTAAATTGGGTCAAGTACATGAATACTGTAAACCTGCTGTCCTTACTTAAGAAGTAACAATTTGCCTTCAGGTTTTATTTTTGTTTGTTTGTTTTTTGTTTTTTATGATGGAGTTTTCCAATTATTGCCCAGGCTGCAGTGCAGTGGTACAATCTTGACTGACTGCAGTCTCTGCCTCCTGGGTTCAATCACTTCTCATGCCTGAGGCTCCCAAGTAGCTGGGATTACAGGCATGCGCCACCACACCTGGCTGATTTTGTATTTTTAGTAGAGACGTGTATTCTCCATGTTGATCAGGCTATTTTTGAACTCCTGACCTCAGGAGATCTGCACACCTCAGCCTTTCAAAGTGTTGGGATTACAGGTGTCAGCCACCATACCTGGCTGCCTCCGTGTTTTTAAAACAAGTTAAATAGATGTCTTCACATATTGAAAGTTTTCTGCTAGAGACTCTAAACTTTGTTTAATATGATTTGTCAGCCTTGGGTGATGTTGATGGTGAGAGCCCGTTTTTTTGTCTCAGTCATTTCACTGTCATGTCAGAAATAGGTTAGACTGCCTGACTTCAGTGGCTCGCGTCTTTATTCCCAGGACTTTGAAAGGTCAAGGTGGTTGGATCGCTTCAGGTCAGGAGTTTGAGTCCAGTGGGGCCAACATGCTGAAACCTTGAATCTACTAAATACAGAAAAATGACTAGGCGCGGTGGCTCACACCTGTAATCCCAGTACTTTGGTAGGCCAAGATGGGCAGATAACCCAAGGTCAGCCTTGCCAAGATGGTGAAGGCCTATCTCTACTAAAAGTACAAAAATAAACTGGGTGTGGTGGCATGCACTTGTAATCCCAGCTATTTGGGAGGCTGAGTCCAAAGAATTAATGGATCCCAGGAGGCGAAGATAGCAGTGAGCCACGATTATGCCACTGCAGTGCAGCCTGGACAACAGAGCAAGATTTGGACACACACACCCATACACACACATAAGCACACACACATACATACATTTAGCCAGGCTGGAGTCCCAGCTACTTGGGAGGCTGCTACGGGAGAATCTCTTTATCAAGGAGAATCACGCCATTACACTCCAGTTTGGGTGATAGAGCATGACTCCATCTGAAAAAAAAAAAAAACTTGCTTAAACTGGGAAGCTTAAGACACAGAGATTTATTTCTTTTGAATTTAGAAAGTGGGAAATCTAAGAGCAAGATGCAGTCAAATTGATTTGTGGTGAGAGCCTTCTTTTTGATTTCACCCAAGCATCTTCCTGCTGTGTTTTGTCTTGGTGGAAAGAGGAATAGTCAACAAGTTCTTTACTGTCTCTTTTTATAAAAGCATTAGTCCTCACCAGGAGCCATGGAGTTTATATTTTGTAGATATCTCTTCCAAATGCGTAATGAAGAAGTTTTCATCAACAGAGCAAGGCAATACAGAAGTGTTCCACACAGGGACATTGGCAAGACATGAAAGTCATCACATTGGAGAATTTTGCTTGCAGGAAATTGAGAAACGTAGTCATGACTTTGAGTTTCAATGGCAAGAAGATGAAAGAAATAACCATGAAGCATCCATGACAAAATTTAAAAAGCTGACTGGTAGTACAGACCAATAAGATCAAAGGCATGCTGGAAACAAGCCTATTATAGATGAGCTTGGAGTAATCTTTCATTCCCATCTTCCTAAACTTCATGTATTTCAGACCGAAGGGAATATTGGTAATCAGGTTGAGAAGTCTATCAATGATGCCTCCTTAGTTTCAACATCCCAAATAATTTTTTCTATAGCCAAAACCCATATTTCTAATAACCATGACAGTAATTTCCTCCATTCTTCATTATTTACACAGAAAGTACACATGAGAGAAAAATCCTTCCAATGTCATGAGAGTGGGAAAGCCTTAATTTTAGCTCATTCTTTTCATCTCTTTTTTCTTTTTTCTTTTTTCAGCCAATGACAACCTCAGTTGTAGCTCATTCTTAAAGAAACATCAGATAAACCATTTAGGAAAGAAACAATATGAATGTGATGTGTGTGGCAAGGTCTTAAATGAGAAGCGGTATCTTGTACGCCATCGTAGATGTCACACTGGTGAGAAACCTTACAGGTGTAATGAGTGTGGCAAGTCCTTTAGTGACAAGTCATGCCTTAAACGCCATCATAGACTTCATACTGGAGAGAAACCTTACAAGTGTAATGAGTGTGGCAAGACCTTCCGTCAGGTGTCATCCCTTACATGCCATCGTAAACTTCATACTGGAGAGAAACCTTACAAGTGTAATGAGTGTGGCAAGACCTTCCGTCAGGTGTCATCCCTTACATGCCATCGTAAACTTCATACTAGAGACAAACCTCACAAGTGTAATGACTGTGGCACGAAATTCCATCAGATGTCATCTCTTCAACACCACTGTAGACTTCATACTGGAGAGAAACCTTACAAGTGTCATGAGTGTGGCAAGACCTTCATTCAAAAGTCACACCTTACAGAGCATCGTAGACTTCATACTGGAGAGAAACCTTACAAATGTATGGTTTGTGACAAGGCTTTCCGGCGTAATTCACACCTGGCAATACATACTAGAATTCACACTGCAGACAGTCCTTACAAATGCAATGAGTGTGGCAGGACCTTCAATTATAAGTCATCCCTTACATGCCATCATAGACTTCATACTGGAGAGAAACCTTACAAATGTAAGGTTTGTGACAAGGCTTTCAGACAAGAGTCAAACCTTAAACGACACACTAGGATTCACACTGGAGAGAAACCTTACAAGTGTAATGACTGTGGCAAGACCTTCAGTCGAAATTCATCACTTGTAATTCATAAGGCAATTCATACCGGAGAGAAACCGTACAAGTGTAATGAATGCGGCAAGGGTTTTGATAAAAAATCACGCCTTGTATGTCATCATAGACTTCATACTGCAGAGAAACCTTACAAGTGTAATGAGTGTGGCAAGGCCTTCAGACAGGTGTCATCCCTTACCTGCCATCATAGACTTCATACGGGAGAGAAACCTTACAAGTGTCATGAGTGTGGCAAAACCTTCAGTCACATATCATCCCTTGCATGCCATCATAGACTTCATACTGGTGAGAAACCTTATAAGTGTCATGAGTGTGGCAAGAAATTCCATCAGATGTCATCCCTTACATATCATTGTAGACTTCATACTGGAGAGAAACCTTACAAGTGTCATGAGTGTGGCAAGACCTTCATTCAAAAGTCAGCCCTTACATGCCATCATAGAATTCATACTGGAGAGAAACCTTACAAATGTAAGGTCTGTGACAAGCCTTTCAGAAGAGATTCTCACCTAGCAAAACACAGTATAATTCACACCGGAGAGAAACCTTACAGTGTAATGAGTGTGGCAAGACCTTCAGTCAGATGCCAAATCTAGTACGCCATTGTAGACTTCATACTGGAGAGAAACTTTACAAGTGTAATGAATGTGGCAAGGTTTTTAACCGACAAGCAACCCTTGCATGTCATCATAGACTTCATACTGAAGAGAAAACTTATAAATGTGAAAAATGTGACAAAGTTTTCACTCACAAATCACATCTTGAAACGCATAAGAAAAGTCATAGTGAAGAGAAAGTTTACAGATGTAAGATTTGTGACAAGGCTTTCACATGTAATTTATACCCGGCAGAACATACTAGAATTCACACTGGAGAGAAACCCCACAAGTGTAATTAGTGGTGCAAGTCCTTCAATCGAAATTGATCTCTTAATTCATAAGGCAATTCATACTAGAGAGAAAGCTTACAAGTGTAATGAATGTGACAAGGTTTTTAATCAAAAATCAAATCTTGCTCATCATTATAGACTTCATACTGGAGAGAACCCTTACAAATGTGAAGAATGTGACGTTTTCAGTCCCAAGTCACCTTGAAAGACACAGGATAATTCATACTGAACAGAAACCATAGACATCTGAGATTTGTGACAAGGTTTTCGGGCATGATTCACACCTGGCATAACATACTAGAATTCACAATGGAAAGAAAACTTACACGGGTAATGAGTGTGGCCAAGCCTTTAGTGGACAGTCAACACTTATTCGTCATCAAGCAATCCATGGTATAGGGAAACTTTATTAATGTAAAGATTGTTACAAAGTCTTCAGTAACGCTACAACCATTGCAAATTATTGGAGAATTCGTAGTGGAAAGATATCTTACAAGTGTGATAAATGTGGCAGATTTTTTGAGCATCGTTCATACCTTTCAGTTTATCGGCCAACTCATGCTGAAGAGAAACCCTACAAATGTCATGAGTGTGGCAAGGTCTTCAGTCATACTTCACCTTATGCAAAAAATAGAATTTATACAGGAGAGAAACCTCACCAGTGTGATCACGGGGGCAAAGCTTTACTTCACATTCACACATCATTAGACATCAGAGAATCCATACCGGACAGAAATCTTACAAATGTCCTAAGTGTGGCATGGTCTTTAGTCCGAGGTCACTCCTTGCAGAACATGAGAAAATTCATTCTGGAGATAATTGCTCAAAATGCATTGAATAAGCAGCCATCAAGAATTAATTGACATTAAAATGTTTATGTTAAGAAGATAGAGCCACAAAAGGTGGCTCACGCCTGTAATCCCAGCGCTGTGGGAGGCCAAGATGGTTAGGTCGCTTAAGGTCAGGAGATTTGAACCAGCCTGGCCAACAGATGTGAGCCCCCTTTTCAAGCCTGTTTTTTGTTTCTTTAACAAAACTGATAGGGGATTTTATGGGTAATGTGTTGAATCTAAATCACATTGGTTTATATAATCATTTCACAACATTTTCCAATCAATATGAGTTGTATCTGTATTTACATATATTTTTAATCATTTTGATCAATGTTTGTAGATGTCAAGGTAGAAACTTCTCACCTTTTTAC